TCACGCAAAGGTTTATCGGTGAATTTTGAGTTTTGTATCCAAATATTTCAGACTCTCAATAATATCCTGCTTTATTTCAGTTTAAATAATTTCAGATGCAATTCCGGCTACTATTGCCATGAAAAGCTAATGATGATGATAATGAGTGATTTCTGGCTATGCAAGAAACCGAAATCAAAATCCCAGTCGATTCCCATGGTATTAATATTAGTAAAAATCTATTTCGATCAGATTTGCAAATAGTTTTTCGTGATTTAATTTTCCAAGATGGGAAAGTGTCCTAATTATTTTTAAAAAAATCGAAAAACAAAAGTTTGATGAGCTGTAAAATTATGCTCACTTTTTTATATTCAATGAAAACATTTACAATAATAATTTGAGTCAATTGTTTTATCAACAAGGAAATTTTTTTATAATTATAAATCGAAAAAATTATGTTTTTCTAAAAAATTTTAGTTAGACGTGAAAATGAGACACATGTCAATCGGGGAATAAATCAGGAATAAAAATTAATTTTAAGTGATCTACTGCATTAAAAATTTTTTTTTGAAAACGCATTTACTTATAATAATATATTTAATATGGAATTACCAATTATTAGCCGTTTAAATTTTCATGATTATTTAACATTGATAACTGGATTATTTTTATTAATGTTTGAAAGTTTACTTAGGGTGGTTACATTTTGTTTGCCAGGATTTGCCTTGAATTTTTTTAGAGCAGAAAGTCAAAAGTAAGTTAATTTGGTGAGGAAACTCATGAAATTTTATATATATATATATATACATATATCATAAATGGATTAATTTGTAATTATTACATCATGATTATTTATTAATTGGTAGGGCGTTTTCAATGCTATACAAAGATGAAAGATCAGGACCAGCAAAAATTCTTCAAAATTTAAACACATTTCAAGAAATGGCCGAATTTTGGTAAATCAAAAAGTAATAATTATTGATGATGATGATGATTCATCTATTATATTTATACATGAGTTTTTTTTTATTATATTTAGGGGTTATCGTACTGAGGAGCACATTGTTAAAACTCAAGATAATTACATCCTTGGGATTCATCGGATACCAACAAGGAAAGTTAGGCTCGACGACGATGATTCTTATAATGAATATATGCAAAGAGTATTCAAAAATTGTGGAATTAATATTTTAACAATTAGAGAAACTAGTCATGCAAAATGTAAACCGGTAGTATTATTATATCATGGGTTTATGATGTGTAGTGAAGTGTGGATGTGTAATTTGGAAGAGGAATGCAGATTAGCATGTTTGTTGGCTGATGCTGGGTATAGTATAGTCATAATTTATTTTATTAAGATGTTTTTATCAAGTACAATATGATTTTAATTTTAACAATTGTGATAATAGTTATGATGTATGGCTTGGTAATGCACGTGGAAATAAATATTCTATGAAGCATATTAAATATAAACCACACGAAAGAAGATTTTGGGAATATTCTATGGATGAATTTGCATTATTTGATTTACCTGATACGATTGATGTAAATAATTAATATTGTGTGATTAACGATTTAATCATAAAGTATATATAATTTTTGTTTTTTTTTTCAATCAGTATATTCTAGAGATAACAGGAGCGCCATCTTTAACATATATTGGATTTTCACAAGGAACCGCACAATCATTTGCAGCACTTTCTATCAATCCAAAATTAAATAGAAAAGTCAATTTATTTGTTGCGTTAGCTCCTGCAACTAGTCCTCGAGGTAAAAAATCATCATATAAATAAATAAATATATATATATATATATACACAAATGTTTATTATTTATATTTTTTTTAGGATTACATAATACAGTTGTTGACGCATTTATTAAAGCTTCACCCAACATTATCTATTTATTTTTTGGTCGAAGAGCATTTTTGAGTGTTACATTGTTTTGGCAAAGGGTTTTATCGCCTCCGATATTTACCAAACTACTTGATATATGTATGAATTTTCTATTTGGATGGAATGGAAATAATATAAGCGAAGAACAAAAGGCTGTCTCGTATTATCATTTATACACTTTTACTAGTGTGAAAAGTGTGGTGGTATTTATTTATTTATTTTTTATTTGTTTATCTACATTCATATATATATATTCATTCATTTATTTATTTATATAATAATCATGATTTTAACCAATTTGGTTTTTTTAATATACAATGACAATAAGCATTGGTTTCAAATTATTCGTGCCAACATTTTTCAAATGTATGATGAAATACCACCTTGGATGTATTCAACAGCTTTCACGGGACATCGTTGTCAATTATTTCCAACAAATCAAATCAATACACCGATTGCAGTTTTTTATGGCGGTAGTGATAGTTTGGTTGATATTAATGTATTACTTAAACAATTACCAAGACCTGTATTTGCTAAAGAAATTCCTATTTATGAACATTTAGGTAAATATATATATATATATATATTTTTTTTTTTGAGGAGGAGGGAGGAGAGGGAGCGAATGAAATGGAAAAAAAATTTTCTCTAGTTTAAAGATTATATTAATGATATACTTTATTTTCCCTCATATCCTCTATTTATATTTTTAGATTTTCTTTGGGCTTCAGATGTTCATAAAGAAGTTTATCCTGAGTTATTTGAATTATTATTAAAATATAATAATAGTAACGACGATGATAGTAGCATCATTAGTAGTAATCATAATAGTCATCCTAATAGTATTAAAACTAACAGAACTAACAGTTTTAATAGTAATAGAGTAAATGATATTGATAGCATTAGCAGTAGTAAAATAAGTGACGTTGACGATCTTGATTATGAAATTGCCAGAAAATCAATCTAATGACTATAATAATCAAATAATCAAACATTAGTAACTATTGTTGTTTAATAGAAAATATAAAATAGAGAAACATCTTTCAAAGCATTGTTTTTTTTTTTTTTTTTTTTAAAGATTATAATGTTTATTTATAAATAATTAATTAATTGATAAATGTCTTTATAGTTCTGATAGCATATCTTTTACCGCATCATAATAGTAACTCTCTACATATTCTCTTAATTCTTGTTTAGTGACCCATGCAAAATCTATAATTTCCTTGTTATCAACTTTAACTTGACCAGCAAATATATGTGCCTTTATAAAAAATACCTAGAAATGAATGATAATGAAAATTTGTTTTTAATTGATTAATTGAATTTAATTTACACATTTTCTTCTAATCATCAATTATTTTAAAATTGTTGAAAGAACCTTGGATCCTATGTATTCTATTTCATCTTTACGTAGAGGTTTCTTAAAATTATATTTATTATAACCAATCGGCCTTCTGCCCACAAACCAAATATCCATACTATCTCCACATTCTTCTTTCAACTCTCTAGTTGCAGCCTTTATTTATATTACACATTATAAAAATTAACAATAATAAATTTATTTGCATTTCTACCATCTTTTTTTTGAAAAAAAAAAAATATATAGATTTTACCTCTAATAAAGTTTCTGATCCATCCAAACCACCTTGTGGGAATTGCCAAGAGTCTTCTAATCTTGGTTTCTTTACAATTAAATACAAAGTTCTTTGCAATGCACGATCAAGTGATTTAACATTGTTTTCCATGTCAGCCTTGGTAATTCTACTAGCAATCTTTAATTCTTCTTCTATTTGTATACCTGTAGAAAAATCATCTGATGCTGATGACGTTGCAACATCCTCGTAATTTTTAAATAATGATGACTTCAAAATTTGAGAACCATTTTTATCATTTTTGAAATCAAATGATTCAACAGCTTCATCAACAAGGTTTTTCTTTCGTTGCAACCATTGTTTTTCTGCCAAACTACCTTTTTTAAAGTAAAAATTAATTGGAAATGGTGTGGAATGTAACTGTCCTAATTTTTGTTGATACAAGTAATATTGAAGTTCAAAAGGATGTGGATCTCTTAATATAACTGGCGCGCGGGATAACACTATACTCGCAACTATTCGATAACGCATTTGTCGTTGAAATATATGATTATGATGGATGGATTAGGATGATGATGATAAAAAAAAATTAAATCATTTGTGCCACCACACGACTAATTATTGGTTATCATTCGGGTTTTTTATTTTTAAATATTTTTCGTCATTTATTAAATAAAATTGTAAAATGTAATTAGAAGTTAATGATTTTACGCGTTTTTTACATTTATTTTTAAAATATGACTTTGCAAAAAAAAATTTTAAATAAATAATATAACGGGGGGAAAAGTATTTTAAAAAAACGTGTTTTCAAAACAACCTACTGATAAAGATTAAATAAAAATGAATTCGCATGCAATAATTTTATTTTCAATTGCACTAATTATTTCATCTTTAAACTTTATTCGAGAAAATATTGATGGTTATAGATCATATATTTATTGGTAAAAGACGCTATAATAAAATTGGTTTTTCAGTTTACGACAAATTTCTAAAAGAATCTATTCAAAAATTTGGTTGGGAAGGCAAAGAAAGATGGACGAGCTTTTTTTTTACGTGGTTTTATGAGGGAGATTTTTATTTTTTTTGCAGTAATTTATTTTTTTCGTGTAGCTATTGTTGTCATCGTTGAAATATTCTCTGCAGAGAAAAAGAACGTTTGGAAATTTTTTTAATTCGCTCGTCATTTTTAAAAAATAATAAAAACAAATATTTCCTCGTAAAATAATTAATTTATAAAACATAATATGATACAGGGCAAATCGATATAAGGATTGATTTCGTTTGAATGGGAATGATAAATTTAAATATAATGTTGAAATTTGCTTTAAAGGGATAAAAATTTATCCGTGGAATTTATGTTGTAAACGTGATAAATGCGATAAATATGAAAATGATAATTAATATAATGTTTATGACAATAAAAAAAATTATTAAATTTACCACGCGTACCAATTAATTATATTAATAATAAATAAAAATAATGATAATAATAATTAGAAAAAATCCAAATGTCTTAAAAAAAAATATGTAATTTCATTCAATCACTTATGGCATCAAGTCCTTTTTGCATTCCAGCCAACAAAACATCAATATCCTCCAAACCAACACTAATTCTAATTAATCCTGCTTCAACTCCATATTTCGATGCCCAGTCTAATTCTAAATAATGTGCTAGAATCGTGTATGGACATGCCAATGTAAAATTGGTACCAAGTGATGGTCCTTTTGCTATAGGTATGGCATCAAAGAATTGTTTTGATGCAAGTTCAGAATGGAATGTCACCGAAAATAATCCTCCGTAACCACCATTTTTTCTTTTATATTGATTATAAATATCGGGTGTAATGTATTTTGGATAATATAATTTTTTCACTAAATAATAATAATTTTTCATTTAAAAAAAATATAATAAATAAATTAAATTAACAATTATTTACTACTAATGATAATACTACTGAACCTTTGGGACTTTTAATTAAAAAATCACATAGTTTTTCTGCATTCTCGTTTATCTTTATAATACGTTCTCTAAATGTTCTTGAATTACGCTCTAGAAAAACAGCATCTTCACTCCAAACAAGGTCTTCGTAATCATCTTTTATAACTTGTTTCAATTTCTGATAATGTTTTCTTTGAGGATTAATGATAAGTCTATATTTTTTTTTCCAAGAAAAAATATTAACAATATGACAACAATAAACAATGATGACAACAATAATAATATATAATCACCCTCCACCCATCACATTGCTATCACCACTAAAAACTTTAGTCAAACTAGAAACCAAAATATCAACCCATTGTAATACTTCAACATTAACAAAATTTCCAATTGTTTCATCTAAAACAATTAGAAAATCATATTTGTCTGCAAGTGCTCGAAGTCTTTTTAGATCTGGTGATTTTAATAGAGGATTTGATGGGAATTCACAAAATAGTCCAAGGATTTGCTCATCACCAGACTCCAATAATTTCTCAATCTCGTCTATATCTTCTGAAGTTCCATTGCCATAAAAATAACACCCTGGACCAAATTTTTCTAAAATTTTTAATGTGTCCGTATATGGAAAACTTGTGGGGCGAATTAGAATATATGTATAAATATACGTATAAATATATAATATAATATTATTATTTGCATATAATACCATAAAAAACTATTCTTTTACCTATAACAAATACTTTTTTTTGGTGGGAAAGCTTGCAATAAATAACGATGAGCGTGAAAAATAGAAGCCATTCCACATGGAAAAAGAAACACGTCATCTTCCGTGACACCTTTAACACCACGTGCTGTTAAAGAAGCATTTGGCTCGATAGGTTTTGATATAACATCATCCAAATCATTGTTTTTATTTGATTCAGTATCAAGAACTCCTACAATTCTACGTTTCAATGCTAACTTTGCTTTATCAGCAAATAATACTGGGAGATTTCGACCATAACGTTCTTCTACATAATAATTCTCTTCAACTACAACTGATTGTTTGGATAGCTTTGATTCATCTTCAAGATCATCATTTTTGTTACTATTGCTATTATTATTGTTGTTGTTATTGTAATTCGAGGTTTTATTTGAAGAAGATTGAGGATTTGAATAACGATTTTGAAATGATGGACGTCTTTTACGAACAGTTTCATCGCCATCACCACAATCCGAATATTTTTGCTCGTCTTTTTTTATTTGCATAATGTATAAAACATATTCTGCCATTCTTGAAGTTATACCTTCTCCTGTATGTTGCCAGTATGATTTTCCAATTTTAAATGCATCTTTTGGAAACAATACAACATGTAATGTTTTAATACCTTGTTGAAATGATGATGATTTGATTTGTTCTGGTGGTATAATTGTAATTTCTGCTAGGCGTACGTTCGATGATGTTGATGATGAAGACTTGTAATTCATTTGAATAAAATTTTTACAACGTTGAGCTACTTTACGACTGGGAAACAATAAACATGATTCTGTTGGTTTTGCAAATTTTTGTTCACATATTGAAATTAACTAAAAAAATAAATGAAGAGTGTGATGCAGAATTGTAAATATTTCATTTCCTTTTACCCAAAAAAATAAAAAGAGAAACTTTGTTTTACTTTTTTTATTTGATTATGTATGAAAAACCTTGGATATCCAGTTGATAACCGAGAAATTAATCTTTCATGACCTTCTTCATAATCAACGTTATCTTGCCAGTTTGGTAAATTTACTGATATAGCATGTGGTGTGTTTGGAGGAATTGAACAGCCTACTTCTGTTGGTGAATTGGTTAAATGTAAAGTGGACATTTTCAATAATTAATATAGTATGATAGTTAGATTAAAAAAAGATTAAAAAGATTATCTTATATACCTAAATTGACGACGATCAATCGAATTCTAAATATTATTTTTACGATGGAAGCTGGTCAAAACAAATAGTTATCAATACACTCACTGGTTTGAACCTCGACAAAATGGTTTAATTTACTGCAATAGATCTATTCTGGTGTCAAGCTTGCATTTAATAATAAATAAAAAGAACAAAAATAGAAGAGTAAAATGATTTGGCATTGTATTTATTTCTTTTTTAGACATCTAAAAGTAACAGCTCCTTCTTCAAAACACAAAAAAGAACAGATCCACCGGAAGCAAGAAGATAGCAACGTTGGAGATGATGACGACAGGTTGTTGTTATTTAGGAACCAAAAGACTTTTTTGCTTCAATGTCACTTTTTTTTATGATCGCAATATATGAAAAATTACAATAAATTTGTAAAGTCATGTATGTGCCAAGGAAAAGAAACTATTTGCCTTCTTTGAAAACAAATAATAATATTTGTAATGGCTCTTTCATATATGATGATGCCGATGAGCATCTTTCTGAAGAAAGTGACAACTGTATTGGTGACAGATCATCTCTCAAGATATGATTATTTATCACACAATTCGTCTAATAAAACCACGCCGGAGGAATAATTGGAGATAATGAGTAGCTTGCTTATGCTGTTGCACATTTTCGGGAACTTTTTGAATGTGGACTTTTAAGGCAACTGCTACTATTACCACCACCACAAATGATATAAGTAAATTATTATATAGATTTAAATATTCCGAGCATTAATGCACTGATATAGACTAAACTAATTAATGATTATGCTAATTATATCAATTGTTTTGTCTTCATTACATCAATGATTTGGAAAAGATAGTGAGGTCTGATCTACAAAGACCTTTAGAACCAATGAAGTCTAAATTGATTTTACAATGAAGGACCAGTAAGCCTCTAGCAACTTTTCTGTTTATTAATTTATTTACTTTATGTTTTTTATTTATATGATTTATTTTTTTTTTAATAATATTTTTTATATAAAATTTTGGGAGATTGCAAGAGCAAAGGATAGTCAAAAACCGGTTCTGAAGTCCTATGACCAAATTTAAGTTTTTACATAATATTAATTTGCAATATATAAGCTATAATTGGCGAAAATATCAGGCTCTGTTTACTTATTACTTAGCACAGTAATGAAATAAATATAAGGCTTGAAATATTTACTTTATTCATAAAAAACATATCGTATGTTAGTATGATGAAGATCATATTATTGATATTATAAAAATTAAATTTTTTGTTTACATACTAATACTAACGCTAAATCGACAATATTAAGATTAATATCTGTTAGAAAAAAATCATTTCTGTTTTGGGTATAGCAGAAACTTTTTTTTTATTATCAAAGCAATTTTTATGTCAAATCCGTCATTTAAATTTTTTTAGCGTAAAAGTTAAAACCCAATTTAATAGCAAACATCCTGGATAGTGATGTCAGCCAGTAGAAAAACCTTAGCCAGGATTAATTACTACTACTATCGTTGTTATTATTATTATTATATCTCCAAATTCGCCGTTCACTATTACCAGGGTTTCTATTAGAACAACAAGGTTTATTTGAATCACTTCGTTTCAAAGTTTATTCGAATTAAGTTTGTGTTATATTACGAATAGAAACTCCAACTATTAATATTTCTTTCTTTATTATTATCTTTTATCCTGCCATGAACATCGGATTATTATTTTTGAACAAATGTATGTTTTTTCTTTTGTCATTCTAAGTGATGCAAATGGATCCACTGAATTCTGCGCTAGAATTCTAGACGTAAAAATGAATGCTAAGAGAAACTTGTTATTATTATCATCTAATTAATTTAGCCGGGCCATATCATTAATCTTGGCGTCGCCTGTTTTCTTTGTACATTATGAATTAAGTTATTAATAAATTACCATAAGATCCAAAAAAACTCGTGTCTTTAATCGTAAAAAATTGATTAGTTCAGATTGTTAATTCAAATTCCGGTGAAGCACCAATTAAAAACGTGGTTTTTAATCTTTTTATAATTATATAAATATGATTTATCATCAACTTTGCGCGAAATTTTTGTACCAAAATAAATATTTTGTTTTAAATAATGTCTGCTGCTGTGAATTAGAAAAAGGAATAAAGAGCCTACAGACATTTTAGAATGATGGTGGTGGTTATTGCTGCTTGTTGTCATTCTTGTTATTATTAAAAAAACTGGTGGCTATGTTCAGAAGGTACTTGGGGCGGACGGTCTTGGACTAGGGCTTCTATTCGTAATACAAATTCTTATTCGAATTATTCGTAATACAGTTGACCTTTAATATTAATATTAATATTAATTCGAATTAAAAAAATTCATTCGAATTAAAAAGTTTTATTCGAATTAAAAAGACAACATCACTCGCGTTTTGTCATCTGTCAAAAAGTAAATTGTTATTGTTTTCCCCCCCCAAAAAAACCAATAGTCGCGGGACATTGCAGATCAAGTGTCATTCAATTAGTGATGTTAGCCGTTTAAAAATCCTTAGCCGGCTAAGCCGTTTACTACCTAAATTGGTAATTCTATTTCTATAA